TCCCGGTGACCGTAGTTTCCCTGTGCCCAGGGTTGGATGAACGAGGCCGAGGCCGCAGGACATCACTGATCAAAATGCGAACGCCCTGTGAGATGCTCATGGCTCCCACAGTGGCCAGCCCGGTGCCACCAAGGACAACCAGAGCAGGAGGCACCTGGTGGTGCTGCTGGAGCAACCACAGACTCATCCACCCCAGTGGTGCCAGGCGGAAGAGGGCCAGGGTGGCCAGGGTGGCCCAGCTGGCCACACTGAAGGCCAAGGATGGGGCCTGTTGAGAAAGCAGCAGCAACTTCCTTAGGTGCAGGCAAGCGGAGTTCAGCTCGAGGAGCAGAGACACCACGGAGAAGCCCACATAGTGGTCGGACAGAATGGCGGTGCCGAGGCAGCTCACTACCTGGGGAGCAAGGGCCAAAGGTTAGAAGACCTTCCGTGACCTACCATCCATCGCGTCCTAATTTCCCAGTCCTCCCAAGCACGTTCTGGCATTCTTTCCCTGAAAACACCCAACTTTATGCCTACCCTACACCAGGAGCCTGCATGGCTTTGAAACCATCTTTCTCCAGGATGGAAGCAGCCTTGGCCAGACGCTGTCTTCTCTGGGGCTGTAACATCTGCAGAGTAACCCCCCCAACTTCCATCCTGGCCTTTCACGCCCCATTCCCACTGCCAATACCGGGGCTCCCTCCTTCTCAGAAAAGCTCCATGTTTAACATTTCTGCAATGGACAGGACACCTGTGTGGGCGAATGCAAGCCCCCGAGGCAGTTCTCAGACACCCAGCTGTGCCAGCAGTCACTCCCCGCCCCTCAATTCAGCCCCAGGTTGGGAGGATCAAGCCCACGGGAGAAAGAGGTGCCAGGGGCTCTCTGGGAAGTCATGGGACACAAAGCTGACGAGAGATCGGGGTGTGCAGTCGGTACACCTCCTGTCCTGCCTCGCCTCTCCCTGAATCTCACCGCCAAATGGTGACAGAGAAGATCCCAGGCCTGGCCCAAGGTCTGGTTCTGCAACATGTCGGCTCCATCAGCCAGGAAATAACCTATGAGGAAGGGCGGCAGCTGGGGTACAGCCCGAGAGAAATCTCCAGCCCCTACCTTTCCCAGTGCTTTCCTCTCCCTCAGTAACGCTGACAGAAGCGCACCTGGGATTCCCGTTGGAAGCTGTTCCCCGCCCCCAAGCTGGCCCAGCCTTCCCTGCAGACTCACCCACAGATACAGCCACCAGCACCAAGGCCCAGGGCGGGTGGCCATGAATGGGGTCGGCGGCCATCTGAGGGTATAGCAACAGCCTAGAGGAGACGGGGGAGCCACCGTCAGCTACGTGCAGACCGGATTCTCCTGCAGGGCACGCCCCGTCCACCCATCCCAGCCTCAGACTCTCGAGGTTTAGCATCCCTTCTAAAGGTGCCGCCAGGTCTTCTTACGTGAGCTTCCCATCCCTCGCCCTCACCCAGGTCCCTCCCGAACCTCTAAGCCCCGCACCCGAGCAGCGCCCCGGGCCCCGTGAGCAGGCTGTGCACCAGGGAGACACAGATGTTCTGCCACTTCCAACGGTCCCGAGCCGCAGATGCCGGCGTGGGCAGCAGCTGCAGCCCCCAGTGCATCCCCCGGAAGGCTGCGAAGGAGGCACCGGTCACCAGG